TCAGTATATTTGAAGACATATTTAAACTTAATAAACTTCTAGTCCAAGAGCAATTTCCTTCATTTTCATCATACCTTAGAGAATTCTGGCTAACATCCAATTGTTGTAGAGATGTCATTGTCTCGGTCATATGAACTATAATTGCAAGTTCTTTTAACTGATTCATTTGTAAACTGAATGTCTCCAAATTAATCAGATTTCCACAATTTTTAAAAACCATGTCTGTTAAGACATTATTGGAAAAATCCAAATACAGAAATGGGCTAATTTGGGATGGGCAAACCATGTGGACCATGTGTGTAGCAGACACTGTGAGATGTTGGATGTTCATATTTGAAAAGATTTCATAGATATAACTTTGTGGAAACCCAAACACATCAGTGACGACTTGGTGTATAGACAAGACCTTCAGTGAAGTGTCAGAATAATCAAAATCTCTGAAGTCAAGGTGACCTTGTAGTTTCACATTTGAAATTGAGAAATACTCAATTCTCGTATGCCAAACCAACTGGAGGATCATGATGAAAAAATTCCAAGTTGTTTCAATGTTGTTTAAAGTAAGATTTGATAACCTTGAATTCTTTTGGAGTTTTGACAGAACATTGTGGAAATAAGGACATCCATCATCACCCAGAACACATTTGATGTTAGACAGTTCCAGACTTACTGCAGTGCTGAGTGACACGTCCAAAGTGAAATGGAATTCCTTTCCTGTGGGGAAAACAATGTGAAGACTCTGTATGTTCAGGTCTTGAAGGCTCTCAGGGTCTTCTTTTCCCCCGTAAGTGTCTCCTAAGACCAGTAAAACCTTATTGATAGGCATATGAGCAATTGGCAGCAGACTAGGTTTTTGAAACTGTGTGGCACTCAACCCCAGAAACTGTAGTTGAGACATGTTGCCAAACTCTTGGCAAATGGGCAGGGCATCAAATGCATTAAATGAGAGGTCTAAGTGCTTGAGGCTCAGAATAGGGTGGCAAGAAATCTGCTCCAGCTTGTTGTGGGACAAATCCAAGTATTCTAATTCCTGGTTGAATTTGAAAACACTGATATCAAGATACTGGATTCTATTATGAGAAAGTATCAAAATTTTCAGTTTTGATAGTGATAGGATGTCAGATGCCTGAAGCTCAGAAATAGAGTTTTGTGATATATCTAAGACTGTTGTTTTCAGGGGTAGGTCTTTGGGAACACAGATGAGACCTGTTTGTGATCTATCAACTAAAAATTCACTTTCATCAGATAATTGGATTCTGATCTCAAGTGTTAATATGAAGATGGTGGCAAAATGGAAGATGCCAGAATTCACTTTAGTCATTTTGTAACAAGAGACATTCCCAAGGGTAGTTGCTATTCTTCAGAGTATCTTGATACAGATACAGATCCTAGGGGAAAAAAATCCACATTAAGTGATTGTATTAAATTAGGGGTGGCTGACATTAAACATTTTTTTACTAGAGACTCATAAAATGAAGGCTACACTCATTGGAATCCCACAACCTGAAATCAGGGAAATAAATACACTGATAAATAATTATACTACCTCTAATCGAATAACTTTTAATATGGATGTGCAATGGACCGCCCCCCACCCCCCCCAAAAATATATCCACCTCCTAACCATGTCCTAATCTCCTAATTGAATATTGGGTATTTGTAGAGATAATTAAGTTAAGAATCTTGAAATGAGAAGATTCTGGATTATCTAGGTGGTCTCTAAGTCCAGTGACAAGTATTATAAGAGAAAGGCAGAGGGAGCATTATTTACAATTGCCAAGATATGGAAGGAACCTAAGTGTCCATCAATAAGTGAATGATAAAGATGTGGTATATATATACAATGGAATATTACTCAGCCATAGAAAAATGAAATCTTGCCTTAGAACAGCATGGATAAATCTAGAAGGTAGTGAAATAAGTCAGACAGAGAAAGACAAAAACCGCATGATCTCACGTATATGTGGAATCTAAATAACAAAACAAACAAAATAAAATGAAAGCAGACTCACAGATACAGAGAACAAATTGGTGGTTGCTGAGGGGAGGGGAATGGAGGAAGGGCAAAATAGGTGAAGGGGATTATGCGGTACCAATCACCAGTTAGATACTAAATGTTATGGGGATGTAATATAGAGAATAAGGAGTATGGTCAGTAATACTGCAATAACTTTTTATGGTGACAGATGGTTACTGGACATGTTGTGGTGATCATTTCATAATGTATGTAGATATCAAATTATTATGTAGTACCCTGGAACTAATGTAATATTGTACGTCAACTACATTTTAATCAGAAATCATAATTAAAAATTTTAAGAATTAAAAATTCATTTTAAAAAGGGGGGAGGCTGTAGCTCAAGTGGTAGAGCACATGCTTAGCATGCACGAGGTCCTAGGTTTAATCTCCTGTACCTCCATTACAAAATAATTAAATAAATAAACCTAATGACCACCCCCACCAAAAATAAATAAAAAAGAGAAAGGCAGAGAGATATTTGATAGAGACAACACTGACAAAGAGAAGAAGGCCATATGAAGACAGAGGCAGAGATTGGAACCACACACTGACAAGGCAAGGAATGCCAAGAGCCAGACAGCCAGCAGATGCCAGAAACGCCTGGAGTATGGCTCTGCTGACACCCTCATTTTGGACTTCTGGTCTCCAGGACCATGAAAGAACAAATTTCTGTTGTTTTAAGCCACCAAGTTCTGATAATTTGTTACAATAGCCACAGGAAACTAATACAGATGGTTTTACGTATTCACAGGAAAGTCCTCTGACCCCAGCACTCTCAAGATCATTTATTACTAGGATCACAGCTGGTGTACCCTTCACCTTGGAAATATACCTCCCCATGGCTGTCTTGAGAGTTCCCTCCCCATGCAGGTGAATTAGGATTCTTTTCGCATTACCTTTTGTTACCTACATACAATTTGCTATCTAACTTTGATCTTACTAAAAGGGCAATTAGATCATGATAAAAGATCTCTCACAAAGCCCATTCATCTGTTGATTTATTTATTCAACCAGTGTTTGTTGATAACCTTCTGACCATGTTTTAGGAACTAGAGATAAAGCAGTGAAGTGGGTAGAGTTGTAATTCTTAAGAGCTTATTATCTAGTGGGGAGACAGAAAATAGGCAAATAAATGACTGAACGTAATTTCGTACGGTGATAAGTGTTATATAGAAAAATAAAGCAGGGTAAATGGATCAAGAATAACAGTAGGTATATAACAGCAGTTGGTGGTAGCTTTTCTAGATTGATTAGTCAGAGAGGGCCTTTCTGAGAAGATGGTATTGGAGTAGAAACTAGAAGGAAGCGAATGAATAATCCATGGGAAGATCTGGGGGAAAAGCATTTCTGACAAATGAAAAGGCTGGCGCAAAGGTCTTGGGATGGGGCTGAGCTGGGTTTGTCTGAGACACAGTAAGGAGATCAGTGCTAGCATGGACTGAGTGAGTGTGAGGAGAGTTAGGGCCAAGATCGCAGGGTGTAGAGCATTGCTAAGAGTTGGGTTTCTATTCTAAGAGTGATGAGGGGGCAGTGAGCCCTGAAAGGTTTTGAAATGGGAGCAGCTTCCTCCTCTCTCTTATTCAGAAAACCTTTTATCTTTCATTCATCAAGTATATATGTATTCCCTATAAAATGCTAGGCATCATTCCAGGCTGTGCTTGTTGCACCAGTTGTCAACCCACCACAGTTCAGATTCTATCCTGTTATCACCATTCCAGTGGCACATGAGACCAGAGGGAGTTCTGCTGGTATGAACCCCAGAAAGTGATACATCCCTCCTCACCACCACAGACCCTCTCAGCAGGGACTACATGACTACACAGATCTTTCAAGGAACTAATTCAAAATCCCCTAGAACTGCATTAGACAAGCAAGCCATTAATATCAGTGAAGAGTCAAATTCCTCTTCACATGTCCCCTCACATCTCTCAACAAGCACAGAAGAACCTACATAATTCATCTCAGAAACAACCCTGGGTTGCAAAATTTCCTCAGTATGCAAATTTATCTGGTTTCGGGGACATTGCTTGGACTTACCCTTTCACAGAGGTGCCCGATGATGCCTTGGTGGTCCTGACTTCTTCAAACATAGAAGAGGGTCGGGATGCCCCTCCATCACCACTCATGAAGACTCTGTGCAGAGAAAGGGACACAGACATTACAATGAATGTTAAAAGTAAGGGTGGCATTTTTATCTCATTGATTGTATTTAGAAAAAAGACCCAGAAATGTCCCAAGTCTTCCTCTCCAGATTCCTGAAAGAGCTACTCATATGATGAGAAATGTTTCAATGAGAATCCAAATTCAAATCCAGATAACATACCTGAGCCAATGCCTAACATCTCAAAACAGAACTATGCCGTAAAACGTCAATTGAAGTAAAAGCAGTTTGGGCTTGGTTCCAGTGGGGTTCCCTACTTATTCCTAAGCCAGAATCAAAATCTGGGGATCTTTCTACCTTCCACCCAACTCTAGAGTTCAAGGAAGCCATGGTCAGCATCGTCAGGCATGGGGCACAGAGAGTGTCCAGAGAGACAAGGGGCAGAGATAGGACTCCATGCATGAACATGAGTGCTTAACACACAGTGAAACCACCACAAGCAAGATGGACGTTGTTCCTGTTTCCTTACCAAAAGCAACCAGCACAACAGATTTACATTTTAAAACTGCCTGTCTTCAAGCATTTAATGAAAGCATGGCTTCCGTTTTCTATCTAGCTGAAATCATTGACTCAAATATCTCCCATTTGCCCAACCTCCATCTTGCCCTTTCATTTAGAGTCCTTATTGGAAGCACTCAGTTTATGAAACTATCATTATTTCTGTAATTAAGAAGTCAAAGTGTCATACACACGAGGAACTGATTTTTAGGTACTTACAGGAGCTATAAATTGTATATACCAAACTTGCTAGATCAGTGAAAAATCAGTATTTTCTGTGAAAGTCCTATGATCAGCACTAAATCTCAACTATAGTAGAGCCTCAAAACTGTTTTACTACCAAGTAGAATTATTAATTTGCAAACGTGGTCAGTAAAAGGATGTTTTAATTTGAAAGTATAAAAGTATTTCTGGTGGGTTTATGTAAATTTTTATGATTATGATAGGTTTAGCCTCACCTCATATGATTCAATGCACCAATACAGGTGAATTGCCTCTGTTTGGAGACTTCGGGAGCATCAGGTCAGGACTTTGACTTGTCTTAATGGCCAATACTCATGCAATCAATCTGGCCATTAAGTTCAGTCCTGCAAATATTTACTGAGAGTCTTCTTTGCACCAACTAGCTATTAACCACAGGCTGAAAGGATCAGAACCAGCTCAGGAGCTTTTCTGCTTTGTTTCCTCTGTGGTTTTGTGAACATTTGCTTTCTGTTGTAAAGTTGCACTCACTTTCAACTCTTTGAATCAAACTGGGTGTAGCCTGGGAAACATTTTCAAAACCTACCATGCCACCTGACTGGTAGAGCAACCCAGAGCATTTTCAGTGGTTTGAGAAAACAGAAAAGAATAGCTCACGGGAACAGCCCAGAGAAAAAACTCAAATGAACCTGCCCCTAAAAACAAAGGTGGTGTTCAGCAGCACTGACTCCAGGAGTAATTTACCTACATCCCATTGTCCTCGGCATCCTCATGGCCAAGAGACTAAGGGAGAGGACTGGATGAAGAGCAATGCCACCTGAGATCAACAACTAGCATCTCTGTAAGAAACCTTTGAGGAGACACTTATGACCCAAAATTCATCTGCCAACCCAAATATGTCTCTCAAAAGCAAGTCACGCATGAGATGAGGTCCATTCAAGAGAAAAACACACACAAAAAAACCCTTTCTCTGACTTAGGACAAGGAGCTGATAAACAAATGCTAGTTCGAACCACACTGAGTACACATCAGAAATAAGCCACTTAGAAAAACACCCAGAACTTAATCATAGAAACTTGTGAGATTTTTGTGTCTAATAACTAGTAATACTATTATTTTCTTTTGTAGTTTAAAAAGATATCACTTACCGAGATGACCTGTCCTTCTGTCATGCTGGCAGTCTGTAGGAAAATCAAGTACTTCCTCAAATATTTATTTGGTAACCACATTTAACGTTGCAGAGGGGGGCGGGGAAGCTCTTTTATGCCATCTACTGAATCCCACCGAAATTACACTATACAGTCAGTGTAAACCTGCTTTCTCCTATTCATCTGTAGAAAACCGTCTGGTTAATTGATAAACCTGCATTAAAATAGGTCCACTTCTTTGTGGCTCTCCATATTCCACTAGTCAGCTGACTATTGTCCACACTAACAAAGTGAAGGAGGTGCTGTTAATAACCCACAGTTGATTTATTGGCTGAATTCAAAATGCTTATCTTAACAAGATTACACTGTATAGCACAGGGAAATATACACAAAATGTTATGATAAATCACAGAGAAAAAAATGTGACAATGAGTGTGTATATGTCCATGAATGACTGAAAAATTGTGCTGAACACTGGAATTTGACACAACATTGTAAAATGATTATAAATCAATAAAAAAATGTTTAAAAAAAATGCTTATCTTGTAGCTGTGCTGGTGAAGGTGGGAGTACCGGTCTGAAGTATTTCAGGTGGTTTGCTTTCCTTGTCTTTTGATCAAGCCGCTATTAAAGATGACTGAGAGTGGAACGAGGGAGGGGTCAAGATGTACTTTTTGCTAAAACTCATTCATAAAGAGAGAGCACTCATGTGCTAATATAAAATGCATGCTAATCACGTCTTTTCTGACAAATTGGTTTTCAGAGAAAATCCGGTGCTCAATTTTTTCTTCCATGGATATTTCAAACTTTCTTCAAAAAGTGATTTTTAAAAAATCTTCATGTGACAAACATGCCATCTAACAATCTCTTTCCTTGGATAAGGTCCAAGACACTTCCTGTGGGTTAGTTGTTGTCAGCACACGCAAGAAATCCAACCGGATAGCTCCACTCTTGTCTCTTACAATAACAACAACAGTAACAAAACAACAAGACAAATAAAGCTAAGAAATGCTAGCTGTCTTCCTCTGAGCTTGTGCTCAGCCTAATACTGCATGATGTCCTGTCACAAGCTGGACTCAATTCTTGCTGGAATCAGCTTTTCTACCACAGTGAGCAAGGCCAACTTCCCTAAACTAAGAGCCTTGAGATTATCTTTCACTTCAATATTCTGTCTTTCTCTGTTTCCTCCTATACCCTCTGTGAGCTGGCCTTGAGATGAGTTAAGGCCGTGGGACCCAAGGCCACAACTACAGAGCATGTTCGTAGTATGCAGTAAATTATTGCTCCACGCAGGCGTCAATTATATAAGATTTAGAACAAAGAAAATAGAAGTACGCATGTGCTAGAGATGTTCTGTAAGCCTAATGAACAAAGAAACTCAGACTGCGCATGTGCTGACAGAAAATAGATAAAAGCAGGACGGGTGCATCATAGGCGCGCACCTCCCTGTGGCAATAAAGTGTTGTTAACCCCGTGGTGTCTCTGGCTGAAGTCTGTCTGGCGGTATGGCAACTCCTTGTGCATTTTTTCATTGGGGCCGCTCACCTCCTAGAACACCACGTCAGCCTCCCTCAGCTGACACTTGGCGCTGTGAGCAGGATGAGGTGAGTTCCCCCTCTGAACCCCCTGCCCCTGACAGGGATGCTCTGATGGAAGCAAAGTGGCCCCCTACCTCTGTATGGTACCCGGTGGCAGCCTATTTGCTGACGTGGGCTCAGCCTGAGGATTGGGACACAGTGGCGCCCCGGCCAGATGACATCCAGAGGGCGTTGGAGCTGTTAGAAAATAAAGTCCCATTAGCCCACCGAGAGGCAGCCGGGAGGGTAGCCTGGATGTTCTTATCTGTTTTACGGCATGCTAGCCAAGACATGAGAGATTTACAGATGCAAGTGGAGGAGTTGCAGTGCAGAGAAGAGGAGCTTAAGCAGAGACCCAGCACAGCAGAAAGGTGTCTGCATGGTCCTAGCCCCGCCGCCTCTGAGAGCAGCTATGCCTGTGTAGCTCCGGTCCCACCATCTCTGAGAGTGATAAGCCCGGCCCCTAGCCCCATTCCACTACGTCTATGGCCCATGATGAAGCAGCAGGTGGAAGTGGAGGAGCCTACGGCTCAGGGGGGAATTCCTGCGGGGCCATGGCGAGTGACACGGCAAACCAGCTATACGTCCTACACATCAATAGAATTGAGAGACCTGGCAAGGCAATGCAAGCAGCGTATGGGTGAGTCAATCCCCGCATGGTTACTGCGCCTTTGGGATGATGGGGCTGACCAGACCGCGCTATCTCCAAAGGAGATGGGCCAGCTGGCCAGCATAACAACTGTCCCCTCACTGCGGCAGAGGCTGCAAACTGTTCCCCACTCAAATGCTGATGCTGGCAACCATACGCTGATAAGTTGGTTAATGGCTGCTGTACGTACTGTGTGGGAAAGTGCAGGGGATTTGCCTAAACACGTGAGTAAATGGACCACGTATTTGGACTTAGCGCAAGTTGTCTGGGAAATGGGCATGCGCCAGATGATGTTTTCTTTGCATTTCCATAGTCCGGATGATGAGCTCCTTACAGCTCGAATGAAAGATTTGATTTTGGCTAATGGCCCAATGGGAACGTTTGGGACTATGGCGGCGCTACTAGCACCGTATGTAGACCGCCCCATACATGAAGTAACTGAGGCTCTGGCTCATCTGGGGGACATAGAGGTGTGCCGAAAGGGGGTATGTGCTGCGAAGACTCAAGGTGAGTCCAAGACCCCCTCCTTCCATGCAGTGACTCAGAAAGGGAAGTCCACGCAGAGGAGGAAAAAGGGGAATGCTCCAATTTTGGGAGGGCCCCAAAAGCTAGATCGCCGACAGATATGGTGCGATTTACTGGCAGCTGGCCTGGACCATGTAAAATTAGATGGCCAGCCACTGGGGGTGGTGATGGCCTTATGGAAGAAATTACGGCCTGAGCAGCAATATACTCCATTGCCAACCTCCCATCGGGCCCGAGAGGTGGCCTTTGGTGATTTCCTCCCGGACTAGGAGGAAGGCCAAGGTGTTCAGGATGTGGGGCACCCCGATGG